AAGCGACGATACCTTTGTCGCATTTCTATTTCTCATTTCACACTTACATTCACACTCGTATTTGCATTCGCACTTGTACGCACACTTACATTTTTGTCATTTGTACTTCCACTCGCATTCGCTAAATATATATATATATATATATATATATCGCGTTTTGACCACCAGTCGTACAATTTGCATACGTTCTCCATAGCGCAATGCTTCGCGTGACGCTCGCAGTGAAATGCTCGAACGTCGTTCAAATTGCTTAGGCGCCCTCGAAATCCGCGTCGATAGTCTCGACGATCACGTCGTGATCCGCGATGACGTCGCAGCCGAGAATCTCTTCTAACCACTTTTTTTTCTCCAAGCCTTTGACGTACACTCGTTTAGGTGCGTCTCGCGATTGATCGCACACGCCGTTTCGAATCACGTGTTTCGAGAGTCTGTACGCGACGTCGCCGTCGCTCCACTGCAGGCCGTGATGATTGGAGGTTATCCAACACGCTTTAGATTTTTCCGTTTTTGTAAGAAGATTCCAGGATACCGCTTCTCGAAATATTCGATGGGTCAGCTCTTTTCCATTTCTTAATATTGTCACCTCTTTAACCATAAATTTCTCCCGAACGGTAAAACCTTGCAGATCGACGAAGATCGGTATGTTCGGCATCGTTCTCGTAGGAAAACCGCGATTACGTGAGTTTACGTACGACGTTCGTCAATGGGTTATACTCTACGACTCTATCGTGAATGATGAGACAATAAGCCGTTGTGCCGGAACGTTCTCTTTGCATTCGAATTCTACGCGAACGTCGACGGTGGCGCTCTTGATCGATTCGTTCTGGTGGGAGCAATCGATGATCACTAGCGGACCGTATTGCAGAAATCTAGTGACAGACATGAACGGTTTGCAAGTCTCACACCCGTAATACGTCTTTCGAAATTTTAGATATATTGTACAGCACTGCGAACTTGTTACGCTCGAAATCTAGATTCATATCGTCGTAAGGATAGAACTCGGAATTCAAATAGAGTTTTACATTAGTCAGCTTGCAATCATCGAATTTAAAAACGTCTTCCGATGGTACATTTTTCCTTCCGGTCTGTAGCGCAAAGATTACGTATCGCGGTTTCTCCAATTGCGTTGCCGCTTTTACCGCCCAGGAATGCTTGGTCGTACTTTGCAACAACGGAAATTCGTATAGATCCCATGAACGAAAGCCCATGCTCAGATATCGTTCACTGTCCAACGTTCGCAGAAGCGATAGTTTGTTAACGTCATTAAGTATCACGTGTGGCATTCGCCACTGTATTCTTAACAAGGTGATCTTCGGTCTCTGATCTGAATGCGCCAAGATGCAATTGTTATCGTTGTGAGCGCGTATCAGAATGAGTTCGTGTCGCGCGTTTATTACTATGCGTTTGTAATCCCCGCAGAAACCAAGGTGTACGTTGAGAGGCACGCAAAAGTTGAAATCGTCCAACGCTATAGGCGGTATTTCCCATCTGGTGTTCTGTAAAGCTCTATCTCTCTCGTAGCTCAATGATACATAGTTTTTCATCAAGGTCGTTATGCCGACGTTTCTGCTCTTATCGATCTCCACGCCATTGAGCTCGTATCGAATCTCGTCGAACATAAACGCGACACAGTTGTTGACTAGCTTTGCTCTCGTAACTTCTTTCGCGGTGCCTTCCTTCGCCATACCTTCCTTCGCGCTCTCTCTCGTCGTGAATTTTCCCTCGATGTATAGAAAACTTTCACACGGCAACATATACAGATCCTGTTGCTGAATAGGTATTCGTATCTCGTCGCTGTATCCGAACGTGATGTTAGCATATGGATTGTAAGTGTGGGTTTCTATTTTCACGATAGGATCGTCAAAGATCGGGGCATCCCCGATACTTAAAATATCGCTCGCTATGTCGATTCTTCACGACGAAACCTAAAGATCTTAAGACAACGTTCGCGGCGTTCAGCTCGTTTGCTCTTCCCTCGCGTGCCTTCCTCGTCGCGTCGTTTTGCGGTACGATCGCGGATGTAGCATTTGCGTTTCCTCCTCCTCTCGAGTACCACTCATTCAGAACGAGCATCTTTCGCTCTCGCGCATTTCTCTCTAATGCCTTCGTCGTCGCATGTGAAGTCGCGCCGTTATCTCCTCTCCGCGAAAATCGATCGGTCGTCCGTCTTGATCCACGATACGAAGCGTGATATCGGTAACGTTTCGCGCGATGATCGGAAAGTAAATGATCAATGTTGGAGTTCGACAGTTTATATCCCGGAGGAACGTTGTCCGGCGAAAACTTGTGTATCATGTGAATCGGCTCGTTGTTGCTGTACGCGCCCGCGGTGATATTGCACTCCACTCGAATGATATTCACGCCCATGATATTCACGGATCCGTCGGACGTATGCCATTTGTTCGGTCGTAGCACGCGCGACGACGAGAATCCCAGGAGCGAACC